TTGATTAACCTCTCATTTTATAAAAACTAAGAAAAAAAAACTTATTTTTGTAAGATTTTTTATTTTTTTTTGCAAATAAAAAAATTAGGAACTAAAAAAAAATCCATTTTAAATGCCCACCCGTATAATTTAAACTCAATAAAATGGTTTGAGAAAATCCAAACGACACAATCTACCACCCCCGTATCTCTCTCGCACACACCTCTCTTCCGCCGACATCGCAACGGTTCGCCGGAGTACTGCGGCGGTGCCACCAATATCTGAAAAATTAACTCCGTTTACTTGCCTGCTTTGCCTTAAGTAACGGCCAATTCACCGGATTTTCTAGTCAGTTTACCGGTGTTTGCTTTGGATTGATCAGCAAAAGGTACTGATCGGTTTGTTACAGAGGTTTTTGCTCTTCTTCTGTTTGTAATTTACTATTTAACTTAATTTATTTTTAATTTTATCATTTTTGGGATCTCATAATTTGTCTTTTATGTTTTTAGATACTTCTGAAGATATACTGTTTGTTTGACATTGTTTTAGTTTCAACTCTTTGGGGATTTTTTTCAGTCTTGCTATAAACAATGAGTGATAAAGCAGATGGGAAGAAAAAAATGAAATTGTTTTAGTGTTTTGCTGCGTTTTCAAGTCATTTGCAATTTTGATATTCATTTTCATACAACAAAATTGAGCTGAGTTTCTATCGGAAACAGCTTCTCTACCCCCAAAAGGGGGGGTAAGGTTTGTGTACATCCTACTTTCGACAGACTCCACTTGTGGAATTACACTGTGTATGTTGTTGTTGTATCAGCTCAATTTTTAAGTTAAATGGGTTGCTATATGAAGTCATCTATATCCATTCGGTTTCATTTGTACTCAGTTTCGTTTCGATCATTCTAAGATTAGTTCCCCTGATGCATTATCTCCTGAATTGTGTTGATAGTAGAGCTTGTTTTAACTAGTGCTATCTTTTTTCTGTGTCAGGAATTCAAGATGATTGGATCTTTTATCACCAGAGTGCTTGTGTAAATTTCGGATTTGGATTACCCTTATAAAGCTTTTATAGACTAGTAGTCGTGGATTTTCTATTTCTTGAGGTTCTAAAGCTTTGATCTTTGGTGTTCCTCATGCAGGATGGTTTTTGGTTATGCTTATCCAGCTTATGAATGCTTCAAAACTGTGGAAATGAACAAACCTGATATTCAGCAACTCCGCTTTTGGTGCCAATATTGGTATCTTGTTACATTTGCTTTTTAGACCTCAATGTATCTTGTTGTGGATCTCGATTCTAACTTTCTTGTTCCTCCAATTTTTCAGGATCTTAGTTGCTATGTTGACAATTTGTGAGAGGTTCGGTGATGCTTTTATTTCATGGTAATCACAATGAACTTGTTTGTTCAGATCGTATTTTTGATACTCCAGCTTGTTATATTTTGAAATATTCATGTTGGTGTTAACATTCTCTTATTTTATGTGATACTTTGTTCTTTTCAAGGGTTCCAATGTACAGTGAAGCTAAGCTGGCATTCGTCATTTACTTGTGGTGCCCCAAAACTAAGGTATTCATATATATCGCTCTATTGAAAAACAAATATTCTGTCTTTGGTCGGTTTCAGTTTCATAGTAATCTAATTAGTTCTTCATCTTATCATAAAATTACTGCAGGGAACTACATATGTGTATGATGCCTTTTTTAAACCCGTGATTTTAAGGCATGAACCTGAGATTGATAAAAATTTGTTGGAGTTGAGGACCAGAGCAGGAGATATGTTCTTTTTATACTGGCAGAAAGCTGCTAGCTATGGTCAGACGAGGGTTTTCGACATTTTGCAGTACATTGCTTCGCAGTCAAATCCACCTCCCCCCACTCAGGTTTTCATTAAGATGTGTTTCAGAGTTTATATGCAAGCCCAATCATTTTCAGCATTTCAAACATGCTCTTTACTAAATGATAGTCTTAGCTGTTTGACATTTGAAGATCTTATTCATTTTAGAGTTTGCATGCTTATGAATCCATACAGCTGTGTTGCGATGCAACTCCACAAAGTCCTTCTCTAACTGTCCGTGCTGATTTGAAGGTTAAGGAGTGATTGTTCATCAGACTCTTAATATATAACACATGCTTGTGAATACTAGATAGGTTGAATCTTTTTAGACTTAGCAGTAGGGAGGTTGGGGGTTCAGTGTAGGTGATAGCCAGATTACAGATAATGAACTGTTGCATTTTCTGATGCTTTGCTGTGTGGATTTGTTTGTGTTTGTCATTCTAATTTGGATTCGCTAATTAATTTTCCAGCCAGGGAAGTTAATTTTAGCTGTACGTTGGAATATATAGGGGTTAGAATCTAAGGGGAAATTTTGTTGCTGGTGACCTGTGTACTTTTCATGCGGTCTCTTGTTGACTGCATGACTTCCCCACCTAGACCTCTTGTTGACTGCATGACTTCCCCACCTAGAGTTGATAAGTACAAAATTGCATACAAATGTTTTATGTGGCTTCAGTGTTTTTTGGCTAAAAGCCAAACCACCATTCATGCTTTTCTTTTCCCCTCGTAATAATAGACAAGAATAATCCTCATTTCTTTTTTACTTGATCAAAAAGAGAAAATATTAATGACGATAATAATAGACAAGAACTATAACCTAACCTAGTACATGAGTTTTCTGTGTTTAACATGACATTTTCAGTAATGTAGCCCCTATTGTAAATATTTTACAGCACTTGTTGCTTAGATTAATACAATACTTCTAAAAAAAGAGTCTTCGATGTTCAATTGGTAGTCTATTGATTAGCTGTAAAATTGTGAGAGCTGAATTTGATCCCAGTTTTAAATATCAATTTGAGCTGTCTTTCAAAATTGCAGCCACAAAGGCAAAGCAGTAGAGGTCGTCAACCCACAGCATCACTAAATCGCAGATCATCTGCTTCAGCAACACAAGTACAGGCTGAAGAACAAGCACCCCGTGCTTCTTTTGAATCTTCAAGCGAGGATGAAGCAGATTCAGCAGAAGAGGCAGGATCCTCCAAAGGTCCTCCACCGGCTTCCACTGCAGCTGCAAATGCACAAAAAACAACTCCCTCCAAATCACTGGCTTCAACTGTAGCTGCTTCTCTGAACACACAAAAAGCATCTCCATCCAGAGCCCTTGCTGAAATCACGAAACCTTCCACGTCTGTTGAAACTCGAGTGGTGCAGATTGATTCTGTGCCTTCCTCGGCCACTGAAAGTGTTAACCCTCCTACTGAGACAGCCTTGGATGAAGCAGTCCGAGTAACACGCGCCAGATCAAGAATGACAAGGTCCTCAAACAACCCTTGATTTGTGTCATCAAGTACTTAACACCATACATCTGGCATAACTTAGTTCATTCATTACTGTTGTCCGTGATTTTTTAGCATGGCTTGAAAAGTATAAGGGTAGAGTGTGTAGGATTGCCAGATGCAATTACAATTCATTATTAAACATCCAAATTAAAGTACTTACGTTTGTGCTCAACGATTGGAGAGTAGTTCATTATTCCTTGTGTTAAGGTGGGAAAATGATCATGAATCTATTAAGTTAAGAGTTATCTTAGAGGATCACTGTACATACATATAAACATCTGGTTCTTGAGATGGCTTTGTTGATGTACTGTATGGTAATTGGAATGGGACTGGGCTTCTATAATTGTATCTCTTTACCTTAACTCTTCTCCTCTGTTTGTTGGATTGATTTTTTCACTGCTTTTCTTATTTCAATTGGTGTGTCAGCTCTGAGATTGCTATTACTTTAAGAGTAAATGCTGTCATAATACCTGAGTTGATGGTTGATTGGCTACTCATTCTCCCTGGTAGATTGTTGCTTGTAAGGGTGGACGTTCGGATTTGGTATGAAAATTTCAATTTGAATTTTTGATTCTAGTCTAGGATTGAAGAAATTGCAATCCAAATTAACTCGAATAAGATTTTTAAATTCGATTTTGGGTTAATTGGTTTGGATATTTCAAATTTGGGAAAAGGGTCTGAAAAATACTCCAACTTTGGCCGAAATTGTTGTTATCCCCGAACTATTTAATAGTGTATTTTAAATGTATATATGTGTTCACGTGGATACATTACTATTTATAATTATGCATTATTTTTTATGTCCACGCGGGCATATATATATATCGTTAAAATACACTATTAAATAGTACAGGGGGTGAAAGGTCCTTTCCAAAGTTTGGTATCGTAACAACAATTTCGGTCAAAGTTCAGATATATTTCAGACTCTTTTCCCTTTAGGTTTTGACTTTTGAGCCTTTTAAGTCAGGTCACAACATTTAATTATCTCAATATGATAGTTAGGCCACAACAATTAATTACCTCAATATGATAGTTTGGTCCTTAAAATGAATAACTTTCAACCGTTAACAAGGATTGAGATCATTCTATCGCCCATATTGTGTAATTTCGTATTAAACTTAATACACCATCATAAGGTATTAATCTATTGGACTTTTGGAAATTTTACTTATTGGCATTGGACGACATGATATGGATAGAACTGAATCTGAAATCCAATCCCATCCAAAATCCATATAATTTTCAAAATAAAATCTAAAGTTCAATCCATAATCCAAAACGACCCCTAATGTTTCATAGGGTACTAATCTATTGGACTTTTGGAAATTTGACTTATTGGCATTAGACACATGTGATATGGGTAGAACTGAAACCGAAATCCATTCCAAAATACATATATCTCAAAATTAAAATACAAAGTCCAGTCCATAATCCAAAAGGTTTGTATTTCAATTTGGCCCAAACTCTGTCCACTTCTACTCGCTTCTGCACTATAATTTTGCCTCAAATCGCCTTTAAAATCCCAAGGCCAATAGGCAAAAAATATTTGGAAGGGCAAGTCAAAGAAAAAAAGCGTTGACATAACACCTTACATTCTAATCTCGTTAACTGAAAACGGAACAAATGTAAACATACTATAAGCCATTCACAGTAACTATATAAAGGCTAGATATTTAAGATTCACAAAATTGTCTAAATATCACCGTTCACTTCAATATTACCCAGAATCATTCAATGTTTAGCATATGCTGCTGGCAAGCAACAATACCATAACAGCCAACAAAACTTGTCCAATGAAGTCATATCTAAGGCTAGTCCCAATTCCCAACATTGGTTAATCTTAAGACTGATATTCCTGTGAACCGCATAACTGTAAGGTAAAACCAGTTATTTCTTACTATAATCTGGCTAGAGATATGTAAAGCTTTTTAGCTTCAAAAGATATTTACAGGTTTATAAGAAGCCTTATTTGTGTATATCTTCTGGTATCCATATATGGAGTTTGTAACCAGGCCACTCCATTTTTAAGATTATTCAATGCCCCACAGAGCAGTAGCGCTGACTTCCTCCTCCGAGCGCAACCAGTAATCATCATCTATCTGCAGTTTAGGGGAAGAACATGTTGTGGATTATAATCAGTGTTTTAATATGAATTCAGTACTATAGAAAAACTATTGTTACAAGAAGTGACTGCTTATTATTTGGATTACTTTGCCTGTTAATATTCAAAAAGAGATTGCCCTTTGCTTCGAATTACTTTGTCACTTCAAAACAACAAGGCAGATGGTGTTTAACCACACATTGATTCACATACATTTCAACTTATGCAATACAGGAAGAAGCTACCAATAAATCAGAAGGGGAATAGAGGGGTTCAGTTATATATACTTACACTGTTATGAGAAGGTACTATTTTATGAACACCCGAGAGCTTTGAGGCTGTTGAATCTAAAGAGCAAGGATGTACTGGGGATGGGCAAGCATCATCCATCTTTTTTGCAGCAGACACTGCATCCAAGGGCTTCTCATGTTTGACGGTTATGTCCTCATGCTGCCTACCCTGTTTGCTGCATTTGTTGATAATTATGTCAGTTAATTGGGCCTTGAAGTTTCGTTCTTTCTTTTTTTTGCTTGTACAGTAAAAAAAAATCGCTTTCATTTTAACGGAAGACTACTACGCAAAGAGAAGTAATGAACCAGCCAAGCCATACATACATCCGGTGGTTACAAAAGCAGAGAAGCTAGTCATGTAGTGGAGATACCTCAAGAGAAACAAATCTATCGGCCCTGTTGTGCTTCTAAGTATAAGCTTATACTGCCTCTCCAAATCAATATCCTATTAACAAAAATAAGGGATCAGAGTCTAGCATATTGTCTGTAATTCTCATATTGCCAAAGACCATGGTTACTCACCTCACATGGATCAGGAACTTCAATAGAACTAGCATATGGAGCTTTTATAGCAATGAGAGTTTTATCCTGTGATATACGCCACAAACATTATAGAGAACTGAAACAGCATCACGAATAACATATGTAAGATGGGTGTTACATACCCTGAAATGAGGCAAGCTTCTGATAGCTTCCTCAGTCAGAAAGAGGCTCCTGAAGAGTCGAACCAGATGATTTTAAGAAACTGATCACATTTTCAGAATAGAAAGAATTGCATCGGGAGAAAAAAAGGCATACTTCTGACAATTCACATCAGATTCCAGGGTCCTTATTTGCTCTAGTTTTTCCCTGTATTGAAAATCGTTTCACATTTATAAAGTAAGAAAACTCAGAAACATGTCCCTCATTGATGACAAGTTGTTATCAAACCTTATGCAGCAATCAAGTCGGCGATCCTCTGCACTTAGATATCCAATTTCTCCCTGTCATTTAATTGGAAAGCAAGGTTCAGTTAAAGAATCAGAATGAACGAATATACAAAACACCCTCCCTCCTTACCACATTCAAAAATTATTACTAGTAGTTAGGTGCAAGCAAATATTTCTACTTCAGTAGTGTCTTTTAAGAGATTCATTGAGGCATACTGTTACCTTGTTTGCTACATAGCTCTAACTCAAGCTTCATAAAATTTCATGCTTTTGTTTATACAACAGCTATAAAATGAAGCAATTAGGGGTGGCAAAAATTTGTTAAGAAAATATGAAATGTATAACAAAAAAAATACAAAATTTATATTTAAAAAAGAAAACTAACTATTTTTTTAACAAAAATAATTTAGAACTTTGAATTAAACTACTCAAATATTTGTATTAACAAATATAGTTTTTGAACAATATTCAATGCAATGTATTGCAAACATAGGACTAACGACTTATTAGCTTGAATTAATTCTTACTACTGTGTGAAATTAAAGCATATATGTCTTTTAACAATACTACACAGAAAATTAGAAAACCTTGATTTTAGCCACTATTTTACTAAGACATTCTTAGAAGAAATTTATAATCACCTTCAATGTAGATACTTGATTATCCAACCCTTGAGATTTTGTTGACCGGAACCCTCTGTTAAAGATAAATTTGGATCATTAACATGAAAGATTTTAAAAAACAGAACCAAACCCACAAGTGTATTACTTCCAACGTATTCGACTCTTTGTAGTTTTCTCAATTAATCCAATTCCCTCAAGTACATTTGTGATGTCGTAAATTCTCCTCTTTGCCACCTGGGAAACGATAATTTAAATAAATTTAGCATCACATATGAAGCGAAAGAAGCTAAATAAAATAAAGAACACATAGTATCTTTTACTAATTTTATAGATTCATATTCATGAAACCTTAATAATAAGGTATAACTTCTAAATACTCTACATCCTACAATACAAGGGAAAAGTTTACCTCCAAAACCTCTGCAGAATGGTTCAAATCAAGTGTTCCATCATCAGCCTCTTGAAGCAAACCAATAAATTTCTTTGTCAACAAGCCTGCCACAAAAAATGACATATTTATTAATCAATATCTCAAACATCAGCAAGAGCACAATCATCTGGTCCAGTAAATTACATTTACACGAAACAACGTACCTAAAGAGTTATCATATCGATAAGTGACACCTAAATTCAGGTTATCATGTAGATCTGTTTTAACAGAAAACGAAAGAAATTGAATTATTAATAAATTTGAACTCCAAATCAATATATATATATAGTAATATGCCAACTCAATTTAGTACCTGCATTTATTCCTTTGGTAGCTTCTGTGGTATCTCTAGAAGACTTCCTTTTACTGGGTTGTTTAGTATGTGCACTACGTGCTTGTTCAAGTGGAGAATAGTTGGATGCAGGACTTCTCTGACTAACTCCATATCCACAAGTGTATTCCTCAGACTTTTCAATTTCATTTTTCTGCTTCAAGACATGAGAAATAATCCATTAGTATAAACATGTATAGGTCATTGTATGATCCCCTAGGAGATAACATTTATGAGCAGAATGTGTATAATCACCAGAAAAGTTCTAAAAAAATTTCATTCTACAAAATTAAACGACAATAACTTAGTATGAATGGTGAATTCAACCATTCAAATACACACAATTAATGGAATACTTTATAAGATTGATGTACTAAATTACACAAAAAAGGTAGTATCTCTATCGTTAGCAAGAGATTAGAAGAAACTTCCCCAATTTCGCCTAAAGATCGATAAAGTTCAGAAGGGATTAAAAACCTAGCAGCCGTTGGTTGAGGCAATTAAGTGCAAGCATTGGAAGATAAAGTATCTATTAAAAAAGATAGGAAAAAGCCTTTTTCTCATATATCTAAGCTTTGATTGACAGAGTCACTTTGTATCTGTGTAAATCAAGATAACAATTACACAAATTAACTAAGGTATGCCAAACAGTAAAAAATAATACGGAAATCACGTATTTTACAATAGGAGAAAAAGCAATGAAAACATAATACTACTTACCGTAACAAAAACGAATGTGGAAGAGGCAATTAAGTGTAAGCATAGGAAGATAAGTAAAGGAAGAAAGGAGAAGCCTTCTTCTCATCTTTCTAAGCTTGGATTGAAGATTTGCTCTGAATTTATGTTGATTGAGATAATGGTTGAAGAGAAATGTACCACGTCAGTGAGGGATGAGATTCCTGGACTCTAAGGCTTGGACAATCTTCCATTCTTTGAGATTACTCATCGGAGCAAAATGAAATGTAGAATAGCAATTGAGTCCAAGCATCGGGAGATAAGTTAAAAAAAGGGAGAAAGTATTTTTCTCATACATCAAAACTTGGATTGACAGAGTTACCCGGTATACGTGTTGAGCTAGCTTTTACAAAAATCCCGTAATTTGAAAATGGGATAAAAGGGATGAAAACACAATACTACTCACCAGAGCAAAAAGGAATGTAGAATAGGCAAGTAAGTGTAAGCATTGGGAGATAAAATAGAAATAAAAGGAGACAATTTTTTTCTTATACATCTAAACTTGGATTGACAGAGTTACGTGTTGATTGAGATAACACATACATAACAAATTAACTGAGGTATGCACAACAATACTAAATAGTATGGAAATCACCTAATTTAGTAATAGGAGAAAGCGATGAAAACACAATACCATTAACCGGAGAAAAAGGAATGTAGAAGAGGCAATTAGTGTAAGCATTGGGAATTTGGGATATAAGTTATAAAAAGAAAAGGAGAAAGCTTCAGTGTACCACATCGGTGAAGGATGAGATCCCTGAACTCCTTATAAGGCTTGGGGAGTCCTCCTCCCTTTGAGCTAGCGTTTACGGAAATCACGTAATTTAAAAACATGATAAAAGGCAATGAAAACACAATACTACTTACCGGAGCAAAAACGAATGTAGAAAAGGCAATTAAGTGTAAGCATAGGGAGATAAGGAAAAAAAAGGAAGAAGAAGCCTTCTTCTCAGCTTTCTCATCGAGATAACAGATACACAAGAAATTAACTGAGATGTGCACAACAACACAAAATAGTATGGAAATCACATAATAGGAGGAAGCGATGAAAACACAATACATTTAACTGGAGAAAAAGGAATGTATATGAGGCAATTAAATGCAAGCATTGGGAGATACAGTTTAAAAAAAAAAAAAAAAAGCATCAATGTACCACATCGGGGAGGGATGAGATTCCTGAACTCCTTTTAAGGATTGGGGAATCCTCCTCCTTTGCGCTAACTTTTACGGAAATCATTTCATTTAAAATAGGAGAAAAGAAAAGCTAAAAAAAAAAGAAGAAGGAGAAAGCCTCGGTGTACCACATCGGTAAAGGATGACATTCCTGAACTCCTTATAAGGGTTGGGGAATCCTCCTCCCTTTGCGCTAACTTTTATGGAAATCATTTCATTTAAAATAGGAGAAAAGAAAAGCTAAAAAAGCAAAGAAGAAGAAGAAAGCCTCGGTGTACCACATCGGTACAGGATGAGATTCCTGAACTCCTTATAAGGCTTGTGGAATCTGCGTCCCTTTGAGAAAAGGAAGGTAGAATCGGTAAAGCATTGGAAGATAAAGTTTAAGAAAAGAGGAGAAAGCCTCAGTGTACCACATCAATGATGAAGGATGAGATTCCTGAACTCCTTATAAGGCTTGTGGAATCCTCATCTCTTTGAGAAAAGAAAGGTAGAATAGGCAATTAAATTCAAGCATTGGGAGATAAAGTTTAAGAAAAAAGGAGAAAGCCTCAGTGTACCACATCGATGAAGGATGAGGTTCTTGAACTCCTTATAAGGCTTGGGCCTCTCTTTGAGCTAACTTTTACGGAAATCACTTAATTTAAAAACAGGAGAAAAGGTGAAAGGAAGGTAGAATAGGCAATTAAGTGCAAGCATTGGAAGAGATAAAGTTTAACTTGGATTGATAGAGTTACTATGTATCTATGCTGATCGAGATGAAGGATGAGGTTCTTGAACTCCTTATAAGGCTTGGGCCTCCTCTCTTTGAGCTAACTTTTACGGAAATCACTTAATTTAAAAATAGGAGAAAAGGCGAAAGGAAGGTAGAATAGACAATTAAATGCAAGCATTGCGAGAGATAAAGTTTAACTTGGATTGACAAAGTTACTATGTATCTATATTGATCGAGATCACAGATACACAACAAAGAATGTACAAGAGTCAATTAAGTGCAAGCATTGGGAGAAAAAGTTTTTTAAAAAAAGGAGAAAGCCTTTTTCTCATTATGTATAAGATTGGATTCACATAGCTACTCCGTATCTATGCTGATCGAGATAACAGATACGCAAAAATCAACTGATATGTGCACAACGGTACGGAAATCAGCTAAAAGCTTTTTCCTCATATATCTAAACTTGGATTGACAGAGTTAATCCGTATCTGTGTTAATCAAGATTCAAGATAACGGATACACAACAAATTAACTGATATGTGCACAACGGTACAGAAATCAGGTAAAAGCTTTTTTCTCATATATATAAACTTGGATTGACAGAGTTAATCCATATCTGCGTTGATCAATACTACTCATCGGAGCAAAAAGGAATGTAGAACAGCAAGCATTGGTAGATAAAGTAAGAAAATTAAAGCAGAAAAGCCGTTTACTTATATATCTAAACTTAGATTGTCCGAAATACTCTGTATCTGCATTGATCGATCGAGATAAAACGATTCTCAATTAAAAAAAAAAAAAAAAACTTAGATGCGCACAACAGTACAAAACCGTACGGAAATCACGTAATTTTAAAACAGTAGCAAAAGCGATGAATCCACAATTCAACTCACCGGAGCAAAACCGAATGTAGCAGATGCACGAGGATTTCCGGGGACAACAGATAGAGATTCCGAGCAAAGATTGGAGAGGAAACGGGGATGGCTCCGGTAAGGTGAACTGGCTGTTACAGCAATGGCGGAAGGAGAAGGCGATGATCTTAGATGAAGTGGTGTTGCTAGTGATAAGTTGAGATCAACGTTTTCACCGGCGGTAGCAGACATAATTGAGCAGGCAAAATTATCAATGGCGGAAAATAAAATAAAAGAGGGCTTCAAAACAGCGGGAATGAATAGGTGGTAAACTGTGAGGAGGCGCTGAGTTTCGATTCGAATAAACGAGGGCCCGCTTCCGCGCCTACCTTTTATCAATATTTTCGGAAATTTATGTGAGCCCAGGCTACTAAATGGGCCCATATCTCTCTGTAAACCTGATTCTAATTGGGTGAAGATAACAATAATAAACAAAGCTAGATCTCAGGGATCTTTGCATTTTTAGCTTACTCTATATTTTCTCCTGTCTTGTTAATTTTACTTGTAATGATTATAGGTTAAAGTTACTTTGACATTTTAGAAATCAAGATAGAATTTTACTTATTAGGTTTATTTTTAGTTGTTACGTTTCATGTTATAAGAGTTAATTTGATGAAGCAGAATTGAATTAGATTAGATCAATATTTAGATGTTTGAAAATTATAAGAAAAATACTATAAGTTGCAATATTTTTTTCTATCCTAATATGATGCATGATCAAAAATCATGTAGTTTGACTCTTGAAAAATGAAACGTGAAAAAAAAGTGGAAGAAGAAAGTAATTGATTTCTACACTTTTATTCTTGTGATAATTAATGTGGTGAAAGGAGAGTATTAAATTGAGATCCAATAATAAATTTATTGATTTAGTGAAATTTATCTGTTTAGTTAGTGATTTTTTAAGAGAAGTGCGAGAAGTAAAACATAATAAGTAAAATGAATCGAAGGGAGTATATGAAAAGGGTAGAATGTAATAAGTGTAATCAATGTTAATTGTATGATAATTAGTGATTATACGGGGTAAAACTTATTTAAAAAAATAAAAAAAATATTGTTATATTTTTGGGTAGTAATCTTTATTCAACTTCTTTGAGGTGTAATAATTTATAAATTTTCATATTCAATTAAACTATACCATTTAAATTGAAACGAAAGCGTACTAAACCTGTCCACTCCTCCAAGGGTGTGACATGAGTCATGACAAGTGTGTTGATAAACCGACACTCCATGGATTTTTTGAATTTCAAAAGCTTGCGTCTTAAAATCTAGGCGGCACTCCGCACAATCTGCTCATCATGTTTAACTTACTACTCCAAATTATTTTGGCTAGCGGGATAAAGATAATAATTTCAGAATATTTTATAGAATTACTATATTTTATATTTGATCATTAGTATTATTTAGTTTTGGAATAAATTTATTCCATCTTTTATGTAAAAATGATAGGATAAGTTCTCTCATATAAAAGGTGGATAAATAATTTCATAGAATATCTCAAATCATGAAATATCCTTATCTATCCTATCCTACGGAGCCCCAATCAAACAATTCATCCTAATAAGAGATCGTGTAAAGATTATTTACATTTTTATTAGTATTAGGTTTCTTACGCTATAAGATTTTGAATTCAAGGCCTGAATATGAAAAACTCCTTAGTAGGTAGCAGCAGCCCCTAATAGAGGTGATTAAAAAAAAACATAAATAATAATGATTCATATAACTAGCCTCGATTTGTTTGGAGTTTGAAGAATAATTGTTAATGTTGTCTTACATTTTTTATATTTCTTCAACAAAACACACTTCAATTGCTTACTCCAAGAAAGGCAACAATATAATTCGACGATTTACCACTTAATCTTCAAATACTATATCATATAAAGTAAGAGGAAAAAGACTCTTTAGTCTATTGATTTTACAGAATTGCTCATACAAGCATACATCAATCAATGAATAAAAGTACAACATGAGTTACCTTGATTCAGCCCCAGACAAGAGACAAGATAATCCTACATCTATTCTAACAGACAATATTCTCGAAAGAGGAAAATGGTATCGTCAACACGACATGTACAAGCAGAGTGAGATGCCAAAAAAAGTTATCCTAGTTGGAGCTGGTAACGGAGTTGCTGCTAGATATTTTCGTGCCACTTAGTATATAACCACCAAATGCGCTCATCTGCATATGTGGATGGGTTCTTGATGGGAGTACCTGCATATTTTCAAGTAATTCAGGCACAATTAACAAGCTAGCAAACATAGGTAGATCTAGAGCTGGTTCAGTAGGTTCAACTGAACACATTGTTTTTGGTTCGATCCATAAGTACACATGCAAAACATGCAAGTTTTTGTGTGTGTATTAGACTCAGTTTAAACCTATTGACTTTAGATCCTAAATTCTGATCGCAAGTATAGAAAAAGAAGTTGTAAGTAAAAAAAAAGTGTATGCATGTCAAACAACTTCAAGTGGAGCTATTATTAAATTTCGATAATCTGCTCGACAGAATCTGCCTGGAGAATGCAAATAAATATGAAGTTAAGTAATCGTGCAAGTGTGCAGATTCCCTTTTTCGGGGTGGTTTGGGTTTAGTTAAAACAAACCTGATATTCACGTAGCCAAGGTTCAGAAATTTGTAATCCAATCGCCATTTTCTCAATCTGCAGGTTGTGCATACACGTAGCTAGAGGCTGCAATGAAAACAAAGGATCAGTTTTATCTTATTTTTCCAACAGAAAGGGAAGGTGATGTAAGTCTGTAACAAGGAGTGAGCTCCAATTAGTGATTCAACAGAAGACACAACAGCCGCCCACCTACCCATCCACACCAGCTAATGGGAGAAAGCAGAGTCTTTTAACAAATTTAGCCAAAATATAAGCAGTGTCGGGATCCTATTGCAGGATCTCCTCTCGAATACCTTGTATCGCTCAAATGGAACATGAGAATGATACTTCTAAAAATCTGTTTTAGTTCTTTGACTTATTTACTCAGCTTTGGACAATAAAGAGCAGAAAAAAGGATGTTGATTTGCTACCACATGATCACTACAGGATAACTAAATCCAACAACGTAAGGTTTTACTAAAAAAAAATGTTTATCTAAATTTCATTCGTAGAAAATTCTTTTCGACATATAAAGAACACAGAAGTTGGGCTATTGCATAATTGAATTGAATAAGAAAGGGCTTGTGTATGTGAACAATGAATGAGCAGCCTGGCAGGCTAAGAACATTAGATTGGCAAGTGAAGAACAATACCTGAGCATACTGGTGATAAACAGCAAAAGGAGCGGAAAATGATACAAGAGGAAGCACTTCTTTAATAATGCCCCATGGGTCCAGTTCCGGAGCAGCAATTATTAGGCTGAAATATTAAATTGGAAATGAGATAGAAGGCAGCAATATTTTGTGTCAAAAGAAAAGAATAAAACCCAGATTATATTCAAACCTGGAAAAACCATTTTCTTTCCACAACTTGATGGCCTCGAGAGGTGCTTTCTGACCTGGTTTTATGGATTTAACAGGCTTGATTATTGGAGAAGGAACTCTCTCAGGTGTTATATCCATGCCACCATCTACAGCTGACATACCAACTTCTTCTAGACCGCTAGAATGAGTGACAGGTAAGGTTTTTTCCTGCAGGAACATGTTTTATTTAGAGAGAAGTTTAAAAGTCATCCACGGGCACACTTACAGAAGACACAATTTACACCAAAAAAGGATCATTTTTTTATATTACAACTTGATTTTACCTGACCCTCAGACACTAAAGCTCCAGTTTGAAATGAATTCAGGTCGGTCAGTGATGCATGCACAGTTCTAGACCCGTGGACAAACAGCAAAGATCATAGTTAGTACCAATGTAGTAAAACATATCCACTGAAATATACAATTTTTTTCATTGTGTACTAAATGGGTTATTTTTCTATTTCATTGGAAAAGAAGTGCACCTTTTACAGATTTCATCACTTAAATTAAACATCCTTGTGATATCAACAGGATATGGTGACGATCCACGATAAGTATTGCACACATAACCAGTACCTGCTAATATCATTGTCATGAAAAAATTATAAGGTCATTAACTTCATTGCAATTAGCACTATTTGACAATACGATAAGTCTATAACATGTTCGACATGGTTTCACAACTATGAAGCATCAGCGCTGTGTACATCATGATAAATTGACAAACATATGATCAGTATCAGTAGCAATAATCCACAGGCATGATACAATTTCCAATTAGTATAGGCTGCAAATCTGCATGATCAAATTTTATGTGTATAAAGCAATGATCACAATTCACAAATAGCCCTTGATGTTCTTAATGTAACTACAGTGAAGAACAAATAAACATACCTCCTAGTCGTTCCGCAATAGCACCAGTAAGAATACCACCGAGCATGTCCACTACAAGTACATCTGCATTTGCAGTAACATTCCCCAAGCAGAGTAGTAGAGATAGTGCATCCACTCGCATGAATCTGATGGAATCAAGAGAATATAAAATCAACCCCCTCGTGTGTCAAAAACCCAGAATCATGCAAAGCAAGATGAACAAGATATGAAACTTAGGGTTATTAGACTACAATGAGCATCTGAACCACAACGACAAATAGTATCTAGGAGAATATATCAGATTTCAAGATTTTCTGATTCTAAAATAAGTTATCAAAGTCTATCCTTCTTTCCCTCCCATCAAAAAGATAAATCACAACCAGAAATAACGGATGAAGATATTTGATCAAACACAAGAAAAGACCATATTATTACCCGATTTTTTCAGGATGTTTCTTGAAGTAGGCCTCACAAATGCTGAAAAATGCAAGATACATGTTAGAAATTAAAGAAAAGATCGAGGAAGACAACGACTAGGGGATTTGCAACTAGAAACCAAATGTAGTATTACGACTTTCTACAACTGACAGCACCACTAATAGCTTGGGGATTTCAAGTTCAGAAATTAAATGCAGAACAATCAATTATATGATTTAAAGAACAATAGTGCTTAGAAATTAATGCAAAACTACCACTATGCTTTACTTATCACCTGAATTAAAAAAAGAAAATCATAAAAAGTGAAACACAATCCACGAGCCCTAAAATGCTTTACTTATCAAAAAGCAATACGAGGACATACTCATCCACAGAAAAACTGAGTGTTCCACGTGAATGAAGTGGTATAATCTAGTTACAACAAATAGAC